TCTCTCTCTCTCTCTATCTATCTATCTATCTATCTCTATCTCTATCTATCTATCTATCTCTCGCTCGCTCGCTGGCTGGGGCGCTCGCTGTGATCCTGGATTGCCCGACAAGCCACCATTTGATTGCTCACGAAGTGCACGCCACCGTCCCCGGAAGTTAATGCACGAGCCTCCTGTGTGTGTGCCTGTGTGCACGGGTCATGTGTGTGTGTGAGTGTAGAACGGGAAGAAAACATTCCGCAATGGATCGCGCATGCGAGCGGCGGTTTTTTTTTTTCGCCTTTTTTTGCCGGCGGTCTGATGAATTTCCGCGTGGAACATCGAAAAATGTGCGGCGACCCGTGGATGTGTATGTGCGGAGAGAGAGAGAGAGAGAGAGAGAGAGAGAGAGAGAGAGAGAGAGAGAGAGAGAGACAGACAGAAAGAGAGAGAGAGAGAGAAAACAAAGGCGATGGATCGTTCACGCATCTCTTTTCTTTTGTCTCCGTTTCTTTTTTCCATCGATCCAAGCAATTTTCCCTTGGAATTTCTATCGGCCGAACATTTTTTTTCCATCGCACGACAGGTATGGCAACTGCACAGAGAGAGAGAGAGAGAGAGAGAGAGAGAGAGAGAGAGAGAGTGAGAGAGAGAGAGAGACAAACACAGAAACACTAACAGAAAGCAAGAAAGACAGACAGAAACAAAATCGCACACAAAGACAGGGAGAAAGACACAAAAAAAAAAAAAAAACGGAACGAGACAAACAAGGACTCTTCCCCACTTTTTTATGCATTGGTGACATTTTTCTGCAGCATGCCAACGGTCTATGTGGTCATAACCGTTTCCTGCTCAATGCCTCCACATCTCATACACCCTCTCCCTGTCACATTCCCTCCTGTCCCGTCCCCCCCGTCTACTTCCCATCTTCCCTCCTCGATCTCCTCCCTCCCTCCTTCTCCTCTCCCCCTCCACTTCCGCAGTGGCGCTGCGGCGGGTCCACTTGTTCTACTTAATGAGTGACCTCGTGATGATGCTAAATTCTCCCGATGAAAATTTCGTGAAATTATTGAAATTATGATTATTATGTTTAAATGTTTAAACTTGCTTTAAAAATTTTCTATTTGTGCAAATTAAATATTCTTAATTAAAATATTTATTTTTTGCGAAATTAACTATTGCAAATTTAAATATTCTTTAATTAAATATTTAATCTGTTGCCAAAACTAAATTTTATTAAATTCATATTTTCCGATTAAAATTCATTTAATTTCTCAAAATTCAAATTTTTCGGGGGGGAATTTTTTTTTTTTTCTGTTGATTAGTGTCAGACTACGAGGTCAGGGAGAAAGGGACTATCTGTGCATTGTTTGCCTCTCTGCCCCTCCTCCCCACCCTACCTCCTCTCTCCTCCTCTCCTTACCACGGACGTCAGTCTCCGGCCACGTCAGCATTGTGCCACATCAGCAGCGGGCCACGAAGGCAGAGTGCCACCTCAGCCATGTGACACCTCAGCGTGCGACAGCAGCCAAGTGCCACTCAGCAGCGGCCACCTCAGCAGTGCCACATCAGCAGGTGCCACTTCAGCGGTGACACATCAGCAGTAGGCGAAGGCCAGAGTACTTGATGCGCCGCAGTCAACGACTGGGCGAGCACGGATCTGCAGGAGCCAAGCCTCAACAGGGACCTAGGACCCCTCGGATTCCGCGCAGGCCACGCACGACCATGGCTGCTACCGCTGACGACAATGCACAAGCCAGCCCCAAGAGGCCGGTTACCCCTCCTATCCCAGTTCAGCAGGCCGATGAACCGCTTCTAGCGTTTCTGAAACAGCTCCAGCTCTACCTGGAGACCACGGCAGCTGAACTCAGCAAGTGGGAAGAGGAGGAAGCCGCCCGCCAGCAGGAAATACAACGCCAGCTGGCAGAGGCAGAAGCAGCACGTCAGCAGGGCGCATCAGAAGCTGCAGCAGCCGCACGGTTGCAACAGCAGCAGGTCGAGGCAAGTCAACACCAAGCTCGTTACCAAGCCACGATGGACCTTGCACGCGACGAAGCCACGTATAGCAGGCTACTTCAACGACAGCATTTCCACGAAACCGAAGAACGGGAAGAGTCGACCGAGGAAGAAACTAACAAGGAAGGTGCAGCAGGACTGATGGAGAATCTGCTGTACACGTGCAATTGGCAGCAACGTGAACTGCTGGCCATACGGCAGGTCTTCATCCGCCATGAAACAACATTCAAGGCATTGGACAAGAAGATCGCGACCCTGCAGGCCGAGATCAGCACACTACACGCCGCCAACAGCCAGCAGCAAACACTAAATGACCAGCTGCAGACCGATGTCAGCATGGGGTTGGCACAACTGTCAGCACCTGCATCAACAGGTAGTGCAGTGGTAGACTGCAGCCCAGCTTTGGCCGCGCAGGCCAAGCAACTGGAAGAGCGGATCAACCACTTGGTCGCATCCCTCGGCGACATCAGCAAGTTCGCTGGAGCATCGACAGTCAGCAATCAGCTGCAGACGCTCAGCGACCGCGTTGACCAACGACCGGCCGAACTTCAAGATCGAGAAGTTCGATGACTATCACAAGACTGATCCGCTGCAATGGTGGATGGCTTTCAACGCAGAGGCGGATGTACATCACACACCCGCCCATCGGCGGCTTGACGCACTCTACCTCCAACTCATTGGAGGGGCGCAGGCTTTCATGACACACATGGCCGTCACGTTGGAATGCACCATCGCCAACCTCCACACTAAGATTATGCGGGAGGAATTCGAGAAGAAATGGAAGACCCGGTTCTTGGTCAACAATGACAAACGGCACGCCACGAACAAGATCTTCCGCATATACCAAGGCCAGCAAACATCACGGGAATGGTTGACGAAGGAGTGGCAAAGACTCGTCGCCACCCCGGAGTTGAACTTACCGTTCGACTCAATCCGGGCCGAGTTCTTCGCCCGGTCATGCGACGCCTTGACTGCTGCTTTGGGCAGCGAATTCCAGTATAAGACCTTTGATGACATGATATCAAAGGCAAGGGAGCTCATACAAGGTAACCAGCGGGCGGCCAACGAGACCCGCCAACAGCCCGGTTACGTGGCGAAAGGCAATGGTAAACGGACACCGCAAGTAGCAGCAGTCCAGCAAGGAACAAGTGAGGACCACGCACCGCGTCTACATCAAGTGACGGAGATGTGGCGGCAGCGATACCACCGCAACGCTCAAGACCCCGAGGAGGAAAACAGAAGGCGAAACCAGCGTTGGCGGATGGAGCACGACAGGCACCATGGACAAAGTTCGGCATTACCGAAGACATGTTCAAGTTGCACCGCGGGAAGTGCAGCGACATCATTTCCCAATCCGCCGGAGTCGGCTGCCTTGCTAGCAGCCTCTCTCACATCCGGGGATGACGCAGTAGTCGCAAGTTCTCGCATTCAGTTCGAGAACTATGTTGTCGAGCTGGTCCCACCGTTGAACCAGCCCCTCCACGTGCAAGATTCAAGCGCATGCGTGGTAGTTCCGCCGTCGGACAACGAACCGGTTGCATCGTCAGCCCTTCTATCGGAGGTTCCGTCAACTTGGGCGAGTCTCGAGGAACTCGACCCGTTGACGGTTGAGGACTTCCAATGGTTGCCTCTTCCCTCCACCGGTTCTTTGCCAACACCGCATCACAATGCCTTAACGGCACATCTGCATGAATACTTGCACGTTGCAGTACCACCTCCGTCGACGGACGGCGGAGAAGCAGTTGTTGACCTTCGTAACTATCTTGCGAAGATCGACCGCGAGTACGCAACGCAACAGTACGTCGACATCGACGCGCCGCTCCTCTACATCCGCATTCAGATCGGAAAGGCGACCTGCAGTGCCTTGATCGATTGTGGAGCGACTTGTAACTACATCAGCCAGGACTTCATGGCACACGCCGGGCTTGGCCCGCTCGTTCGAAGGAAAAGTCAGGTGTTACATGCTGTACAGGCCCCAACCTGTTTCCCTACAGGGAAMCTTCCAGGCTCTTGCCTGGAAGCTTCCTTCTGACAGGGCCTACAGGCCCCAGCCTGTTTCCCTACAGGGAAACTTCCAGGCTCTTGCCTGGAAGCTTCCTTCTGACAGGGCCTA